TTATATATATATATATATATATATATATGCAAGGCACATCTTCGAAAAAGTATACACATATCTACATATATATATTTGCTGTTGCATGCATGCAATTTGTTAGTGCATGCATTGCATGCATGCTAAACCCTAAACCCTAAACCCTAAACCCTAAAACAATTAACATGCGGCACATCTTCCCACTACTTCCAATTTTCTGGAACCTCCAAAACGCAGCAGCAGCAGCAGAAGCAGCAGCAGCAGCAGCAGCAGCAGCATAAACCCTAAACCCTAAACCCTAAGCCCTAAACCCCAAACCCTCGATCCCAGCCCTTCCCCGCTGGCCAGGCGCTAAGCCGTAAACAGCCCCAAACCCTAGCCCGTAAACCCTAAACCCTAAACCCCAAACCCCAAAGCCCGACCCAAACCCCAAACCCTAAACCCTAAACCCTAAACCCTAAACCCTAAACCCTCACTCGCAGACGACGTGGCCGCAGGAGAGGAGCCTGGGAGGGTTTGTCTTGGAGGTTTCTTCTTTGCTGACAGCACAAGTTATTGAAGAGTGAAAAGACAAAGAAGGGTTTAGCTCCAGTTCGAGGGGCAGCCGGCCGCCCTGCAGCAAGCAGCAGCAGCTGCTGCTGCCGCCGCAGCCCCAGCAAGCAGCAGGCTGCTGCTGCAGCAGCGACCGCCGCCGCCGCAAGCTGCTGCTGCTGCTGCTGCTGCTGCTGCTGCTGCTGCTCGGCACTGTGGGCTCCAGCCCCAGCGCTGGGGAGCCCCGCAGACTCGTCAGCAAAACTTGGTAGGTCTCTCTTTCGCTGCCTTGCTGCTGCTGCAGCTGCTGCAGCTGCTGCAGCGCCAGCAGCTGCTGCTGCTGCTGCTGCTGGTGCTGCTGCTGGTGCTGCTCCGACATCCGCCGCCGCACCCGAGCTGTCCACAGCTGCTGCTGCCCCGAAGCAGCAGACCGCAGCCGCTGCTCTGCTGCAGCACCAGCAGCAGAAGGTGGCAGCTGCAGCAAGTCCTCGGGGGGCCCCCAAAACAGCACTGGGGGCCCCACAGCTGCTGCTGCGGGGGCCCTCTCTTCAGCGGCAGGGGCCCCCAGGGCCCCGGGCTGCAGCAGCTGAACCAGCTGCACAAAATCAAACACCCGTGGCAGCAGCAGCAAATGCAGCAGCAGCAGCAGATGCAGCAGCAGCAGCAGCAGCAGCAGCAGCTGATTCAGCAGCAGCGGCAGCAACGCCTCCTGTCCACGCTTCAGCAGCTCAGGCCGTAGGTGCAAAGACGCAGCAGCAGCAGCAACGGCAGTAGCAGCAGCGCAAACAGCAGCAAAAGCAGAAACAGCAGCAACAAAATTGGGAACAGCAGCAACAGCAGCAACAGCAGCAACAGCAGCAACAGCAGCAACAGCAGCAACAGCAGCAACAGCAGTAAGTGCGCAAGGGCTACCAACGCAAACCCTACAACAGCCGTAAGCAAAAATGCAACACAAGCCGCCGCAATAGCTGCAGCAGCAACAATAGCAGTAAAAGCAGCAGCAGCAGCAGCAGCAGCAGCAACAGCAGCAGCAGCAACAGCAGCAGCAGCAGCAGCAGACCTGCACAAGCTTGGGTAAGAAAATGGCCCCCGCGCAAACCAATACCGCCAAGGGGCTTTCCCTGGGTAGTGGAATTCTTTGGGAGTTTTTGTTGGCTTTGCAGCGGCAGCAAATGGGGCAAAGGCTGCTGCTGGAGTAGAAGCTGCGGAAGCGACGGGAGAATCGGCCATGTCCATCAAGGGAGAGGCGCAGCTCCGAGACACAACGGCTGACTCTGCTGCTGCTGCTGCTTCTGCTGCTACTGCTTCTGCTGCTGCTGCTGCTGCTGCTGCTGCGTGTGCTGCTCCCCCCTGGCACTTGCAGCAGCAGTCCGGGCCGCAGCAGCAGCAGCAAAACGCAGGGAATGAAAGGCCCCCCAAAATACCCGAGATGCCTGCAGCCTCGGCCGGGGCCTCGGGGCCTACGCTGTTGCTGCTGCTGCTGCGCATGCTGCTGCTGCTGCTGGGCTCATCTGCAGCAGCAACAGCAGGTGCTGCTGCCTCTGCGGGGGCAAACGAAGCAAACGTTGCAGCAGATGCGCCAGCGCCGCTGCGCAGCCCAGCAAAAGGAGTCCCTGAAAGGCAGCAGCAGCAGCAACAGCAACAGCAGCAGCAGCAGCAACAGCAGCAGCAGCAGCAACAGCAGCAGCAGGAAATTACACAGCATATGGCACCGCTAAATCTGCAGGAGAGTGTCCCTCAGAGCCCTTCCGCAAACGCTGCTGCTGCTGCTGCTACTACTATCATTGCTGCTGCTGCTGCTAGTACTACCACTGCTGCTGCTGCTGCTGCGGCTGCTGCTGCTGCGGCTGCTGCTGCTGCGGCTGCTGCTGCTGCTCCTACCTGAAGCAGTTGTTGCTACTCGGCCTGAAGCAGCAGCTGCTGCTGTTCCTTGAGCAGCAGGGGACGGACCCATCTGAGGAGAGGCTCTTTCTGCTGCCAGCAGGCTCTGCTGCTGCTGCTGCTGCTGCTGCTGCTGCTGCTGGCGCTGGGCTGCTTGGCCCTGCTCCTCTACCACCTGCTGCTGCTGCTGCTGCTGCTGTTGCAATGGCCTCCCAAGGTAACCCAGTCCATCGCCCACGTGGTCTGCTGCTGGTGCCACGTCGGAGAGCCGCTGCTGCTGCTGCTGCTGCTGCTGCTGCAGCTGCTGCTGCTCGTGCTGATGCAGGCGCTGCAGCCGAAGCATCTGCAGCTGCTGCAGCTGCTGCTCCTCTCTCCAGGTTAAAGGGGGCAGCGGGTCGCCCAGGTAAGGCAAATCGAATTCAGCAGCAGCTGCGCTAGAGGCCAGCCCGTGCTGCTGCTGCTGCTGCTGCTGCTGCTGCTGCTGCTGCTGTTCCTGCTGTGCCTGCTGCTGCTGTGGAGGAAGCAGCGCCATCCCCCACTGAGAGGAGGACTCTATATCCCATGGCTGGAGAGGAAGCTGTTCCTGCTGCTGCAGCTGCTGCAGCTGCTGCAGTTGCTGCTGCTGCAGCTGCTGCAGTTGCTGCGGCTGCTGCTGCTGCTGCTGCTGCAGCTGCTGCAGCTGTTGCAGTTGCTGCGGCTGCTGCTGCTGCGACTGCTGCAGCTGCTGCAGCTGCTGTGGCTGCTGCTGCTGCAGCGGCTGCAGTTGCTGCGGCTGCTGCTGCTGCAGCTGCTGCAGTTGCTGTGGCTGCTGCTGCTGCAGCGGCTGCAGTTGCTGTGGCTGCTGCTGCTGCAGCGGCTGCAGTTGCTGTGGCTGATGCTGCTGCAGCTGCTGCAGTTGCTGCGGCTGCTGCTGCTGCAGCTGCAGTTGCTGTGGCTGCTGCTGCTGCAGCGGCTGCAGCTGCTGCAGTTGCTGCAGTTGCTGCAGTTGTTGCGGCTGCAGCTGCTGCAGTTGCTGCAGTTGCTGCAGTTGTTGCGGCTGCTGCTGCTGTAGCTGTTGCAGTTGCTGCGGCTGCTGTTGCTGGAGCTGCTGAAGTTGCTGCAGCTGCTGCTGCTGCAGCTGCTGAAGTTGCTGCGGCTGCTGCTGCTGCAGCTGCTGAAATTGCTGCGGCTGAGGCTGCTGGTGCTGAAGCTGCTGAAGTTGCTGCGGCTGCTGCTGCTGCAGTTGCTGCAGTTGCTGCGGCTGCTGCTGCTGCAGCTGCTGCAGCTGCTGAAGTTGCTGCGGCTGCTGCTGCTGCAGCTGCTGAAATTGCGGCTGCTGCTGCTGCAGCTGCTGCAGTTGCTGCGGCTGCTGCTGCAGCAGCTGCGGCGGCTGTCGTTGCTGCTGCTGCTGCTGCTGCTCACGGCGCTCGGGTGGGGAGGGCAGAAGAGTGCCTGAGAGACTGTGGGTCTGCTGCTGCCGTTCCCCCTCCTGCCCCTGTTGTTGCTGCTGTTGTTGCTGCTGCTGCTGTTGCTGCTGCTGCTGTTGCTGCTGCTGCTGTTGCTGCTGCTGCTCCATGCTGCGGTCTGTCGCTCCTATTCCTTGCTGCTGCTCTTCTGGAAATGGCTGGCGATGCACGTCAGAGAGAGCACCATGGGGAGTTTGTTGCTGTTGTTGCTGTCGCTGCTGCTGCTGCTGCTGCTGCTGCTGCTGCGTCTGCTGCTGCTGCTGCCTCTGCTGCTGCTGCTGTCGTGCTGCTGCAGGCTGCTGGCGCTGTGGCGGCGAAGCCCTTGACGCATTTGCTTGCTCTGCAGCGCGTTGCTGCTGCCGCTGCAACTGCCGCTGCTGCTGCCGCTGCTGCCGCTGCTGCTGCTGCTGCTGCTGCTGCCGGTGCAGCTGCGCCTGCTGCAGATAAGGGCCGTGGCTAGCAGCCATTCGCTGCAGCCGCCACAGGGGTCCTCTCCGCTGCAGCAGCCGCCGTTCCCGCTGCAGCTGCAGCAGCTGCAGCTGCCGCTGCTGCTCTTGCTGCTGCTGCTGCTGCTGCTGCTGGCAAGCCGATGTAACCCCTGCACTGACGCTGCGAAGAGACACGCTCTTAGAAGGGCCACTGCGGCCGCGGAGCCTGCAGCAGCAGCAGCAGCAACAGCAGCAGCAGCAGCAACAGCAGCAGCAGCAGCAACAGCAGCAGCAGCAGCAGCAGCAGCAGCAGCAGCAGCACCAGCTTCTGCGCCTCTTCCTCTATTTTTGTCTCATTTTGCTTCTCATTCGTGTATACTTGAAATAATTTTGCAAATATAATTTAATTTAATTTAATTTAAATTAATTTAATTAATTTCATAATTGGTTTTTTATTTGATGGTTTGCATGCGCAAGTCCAGCTGAAGCCTCACTGCTTCTTGCTGCGGGCGTTCTGCAGCGCTTGTTTTGCTGCTGCTGCTGCTGCTGCTAACCCCTGCTGCACTTCTGCTGCAGTCTGCAGCAGCGCCTTTCGCTCTTCCTCAGCCACAATGAAGGCCCGCGAGAGCGGCAGCAAACGCTGCCGCTGCTGCTGCTGCCGCCGCAGCACGTGCTGCACCATCAGCCCCAGCAGCCGCAGCTCCTGCAGCAGCAGAGGCTCCTGCCTGGCCTCGGACTCGCTTCCTGCTGCTGCTGCTGCTGCTGCTGCTGCTTGTGCTGCTGCACCGGCTGGGGAAGCGCGAGAAAGCGGCGTATCTGCCTCCATAGGGGAAGCCCCGTCTGCTGCGGCTGCTGCTGCTGCGGACTCGTGTTCTGCTGCTGCTGCACCTGCAGCAGCAGCAGCAGCAGCAGCAGCAGCAGAATTGCCCTCCACTACACTCGATGACTCACCAGAAGCAGGAGACCCTGCAGGTGCATCAGCAGCAGCAGCAGCAGCAGAGCCTGCTGCAGCTGCAGCAGAATGGCCTCCATTCTCTGCGTTTGGAGAAGGCTGCGCAAAAATAGGATCAGCCGCAGCAGCAGAATTTGCTGCTGCTGCTGCTGCTGCTGTTAATGCTGCTGCTGATGCTGCTGCTTCCTCCGCATGCATTGCTGCGGGAACGGACGCAGCAGCAGAGCCAGCTGCTGCTTCCTCCTCGGCAATGCCGCCTTCTGCTCGCTGCTGCTGCTGCTGCTGCTGCTGCTGCTGCTGCTGCTGCTGGGCAGCTTTCCGAGCAGCAGCAGCGTCCTCCACAGCCACAGCAGCAGCAACTGCTGCTGCTGACATGTTGCCTGTGGGGCCCGGCAGCAGCAAAAGGTTCAAAAGGCTGCCAGCAAGAGGGTCTTTTTCCCGCTGCTCTGCCAAAGCTGTGGCCTCCGCCAGCAGCGCCCTGCGGCGCTGCTCCTTGTCCCCCCTGCAGCAGCAGCAGCAGCAGCAGCAGCAGCAGCAGCAGCAAAGATAGCAGCGCGAGTCTTGCGCCCTGCAGCGCCGCACGCGGCGGCAGCAGAAACGACAACTGCAGCAGCAGCAGCAGCAGCAGCAACGCCGTGCCCGGCGGCCTGCCTGCCCCGCTGCTGCTGCTGCGCCCGCCGCTCCCGCTGCTGCTGCTGCTGCTGCTGCTGCTGCTGCTGCTGCTGCCTCACCTTTGCCTCCTTTCCAGCAAACGCGCCACAGCTCTTGCTGCTCTTATGTCTCCATTTATTACATCTCCATAAGGCCTGTGCTGCGGCTGTCTCCTCGCAAGCATTCTCATTTCAGTGCCGAAGGGGACCCAGGGGCCGCGGGGGGGCAGCAGCAGCAGCTGCTGCTGCTGCTGCTGCTGCTGCTCCTGCTGCTCCCGCTCCCGCTGCTCGTCCAGCTCCTGCTGCTCCTGCCGCTGCAGCGCTGGCAGCAACTCCTTCAGCTGCAGGATCCCGCACAACACAAGGGCGACGGGGTCCCCCAAGCAGCTCTCCCCTTCTGCTGCTGCTGCTGCAGCTCCTGCTGCTGCTGCTCCTGCTGCTGCTGCTGCTGCTGCTGCTGGGGGAGCAACAGCAAGCGCGGCAGCCGAAGGGCTGGCGGGCGCGCGCTGCTGCTGATGCGCAGCACCCTCTCCCGCTGCCTCTGCTGCTGCTGCACCTGCTGCTGCCGCATCTGCTGCTGCATCTGCTGGCGCTGCTGCTGCTGCTTCTGCTGCTGCGTCTGCTGCTGCGAACGGTGCTGCTGTAGTTGGTGCTGCTACCACCTCGTCGGGCGTAATGGGGCAAGTAAGAGAAGCCCCAGCAATGGCAAGTGCTGAGGTAGCTCTGAGTCGCGCAGCAGCAGCAGCAGCAGCAGCAGCAGTTGCTGCTGCTGCTGCTGCTGCTGCTGCTTCTTGCGACCTCTGCATCGCAGACCGCGCTGCTGCACCGTCTGCTGCTGCTGCTGCTGCGCCGTTGCGAGAAGCTGCGGAGTGCAGCAGACTGTCTGCTGCAGCTGCTTCCTGCTGCTTGGGGAGCGGCTGTGACTGCTGCTGCGGCTCGGCGCTGCTCTCCGCCGCCTGCGCGCCTCCTGCTGCTGCTGCTGCTGCTGCTGTTGCTGCTCCCCAGATGCTGCTGCAGCACCGCCCCACAGAAAAGGCCCTTCTGTAGCTGCGGGTCAAAGCCATTAAGTCTCCGCCTTTCCCTGGCTGTCTCCCTGGGCGGCCCCTCCTGCACAGTTCTGCCACTGCGTCTCCATCTGCTGCTGCTGCTGCTGCTGCTGCTGCTGCTGCTGCTGCTGCTGGGCTGGGGGGGGGCTGCTGCAGCAGCGGAGCCGCGGGGCCCCGCGCGGGCCACATGGTCTGGGTGTGGGCGAGCTCCAGCAGCTGCAGCCAAGACAGGGTCGCGATGCTGTTGGCCGTGCTGCTGCTGCTGGTGCTGCTGCTGCTGCTGCTGCTGCTGCTGCCCATGCTGCTGCTAAGCACCGAAGCAACAAAAGCAGCACCCCAGTGAGGACTTAGGGCCCCCCCACCAGTAACAGCAAGAAAGACATCTCGGTTGTGGGGCCCCGTGGTGCAGCTGCGGCAGCGCAGCACCACTGGCTCCCCCTCATCTTCCTGCTGCTGCTGCTGCTGCTGCTGCTGCTGCTGCTGCTCGTCTAGCTCTCCCTGCTGCTGCTGCTGCTGCTGCTGCTGCTGCCTGGGCCTGCAGACTGCCAGCATTCGCCGCAGCGCCGCGGGAGTTCCCCGCTGCGCTGT